CCGTCCCAGTAGGACAGAGTAGAACTGCCCCATTGGGTTTCCAAGCCTATAAATCTTTAGGGATGTAGACTGCCTCATCTTTCCTCCCAGTGGCGTGGAACCGCCCACCTTTTAGTTAATAGCCTAATGCTTTAACCACAGTGACACCAGAGCTCCTAGAGCTATAGATACAAAACATACCTCCACCGGATGGTGCCAAAAGCCACTGAGCGGGGCAACGTAGTTTCCTGTTCTGGAACATTCCACTACCAGGAGGCGTGGCCGCTTCTGGATGGTGTGGCACAAACCATTATGATGGGGGTGTATGACTTTTACTTAATTCCAAGAGCTTTATTTTCTTGGTTCCAAGTGTTTTCTGATCGCTCCTGCTTCTTCCTGACTTCTACAGCTTTTAGACTGGCAACAACCTCCCTTGTGACCTGGGTAGAAGGAGGGGGCTATCCTCACGCATTCCCCCCGCCGCCCGCAGTCTCTGGAAGTTGGAACAGTCTTGCGGGGCGACACCTGGAGGACTGGACTGGCCTCGAGGCTTCATTTCCAGAGGCACTTGAAAGAGAGAGGTTCATTCTGTGTGGACGTGGTAGGCCTGGACTTACTCTGGCGTCTCCCACTCCAGAGGTGAGAGGGGGAGGGCGTTAGAGTAGGACAAGCCAGTCAGGGAGCCATTCTGAGGGTGGTGGGGATGGGGAGAAGAGAGTGAGAGAGAATGTAATTGGTTAATCTTTCCCTGCAGGACCTGCAAAATCACTAAGCCTCTCAGCCCTCATGGCTTTGAACCCCAAGGACCCCAGTGGTGGGTTCCACCATGCCGAGGTGGTGGCCTTCATTAACGAGAAGATGGCCAGGCACGCGAAAGGCCCTGAATTCTACCTCGAGAATATGTCCCTGTCCTGGCCAGAGGTGGAAGCTAAGCTCGGGGCTATCCTGGAAGACAGCGAGATGTCCAACGAGGTCAAGGAGGCCTGCACCTGGGGCAGCCTGGCCCTGGGCGTGCGCTTCGCTCACAGGCAGAGCCAGTTACAGGGGCTCAGGGTGCAGTGGCTTCACGACTTCGCCAAGCTGCACCGGTCTGCTGCAAAGAACCTAGCCGCAGACCTGAAGAAGCTCACCGAGCAGCAGGAACTGGAACGCAAGAGGGCGGCCTTCCAGCTGCAGCTGCTCCGGGCCTCCTTAGCAGATGTGCAGATGGAGAGGGACCAGTTGAAGTGGAAGCTCCTCCAGGCAGTAAGAGTTGCTCTCAGTCTAGGCCCTTCCATCCCCCAATTCCACAGCCCCCTCCCCCATTCTGCAAGCCCCTCCTCTTCTGTCCCCTAACCCTACCCTCCACTACCGCCCCTCAGCCCCTCCCTTCAGCCCATGAAAGGGATCTTAACTCTGCCCCCTTCTGTTCAGGAGCAGCAGCAGCCCCTGGAGCCAGCCACAAGGTGGCCAAGCTTGTCCACTGCTCATGCGGCTGGGACAAGAGAAGGCAAGGAGGAAGAGGAGGTGGTCGCCACAGCGGGACCAAGGCTGTTCACTGCCAGTGCGGCTGGGGCGGGAGGAGAAAGCAAGGAGGAAAAGAAAGCAGTGGCCATAGTGAGGCCAAGCCTGGCCACTACCTGTGGGGCTGAGACAGAAGGAGAAAGTTAGGAGGTCATCTTCACCAGATGGTCAAGCATGGCCATTGTCTGTGGGGCTTGGACAGAAGGAGAAGGTGAGCAGGAAGAGGAGGCAGTGGCTGCTGCTGCTACCTTTCCTGCTAGTGCCACAGGAGAAGAGGAGGAGAGGGATATGGCAGGTGCTGCCATCGCACCTGCTACCAGGGCTACACAGGAATTGAGTGGAACCTTGCTGAAGTTTTCTGGAGCTACGGGGTGGGAAAAAATCATCTCTGGAGGGCAGAGGGAGGGAGAGCGCAGGTTAATGGAAACAGACATATTTTGTTTCTCTGAGCCTGCGAAGCCCAAGCCCATAGTCACACAGGCATCCCTTCCTGTTCAACTCCCTCCTTTGTTTTCATACTTGTACCCTTTATCCACATTTCCAAACCCACCTAAGGCCACATTATCTCCACCAGCAGCTCATCCATCTTCCATTTTGGGGGCCTCTAATGTTAGTTTTTGGTCTGATGTGGGGACCCAGGCAATAGAGCCTCAAGAACCCCAAAGAAGGATAGATTTTGAATACCATCAGAAGAAAAGGCCTCCAATAGTGTGCAGGCTGGGGGATTGGGACTGCCCTTGGTGTAAAGTTGTGAACTTTTCATGGCGGGAAATTTGCTTCCGCTGTGGGAGGAGAATCTGGCTACAAAAACCTTAGTGAATGCAGAAATGTGAACTAGAACAGAAACATATCCTAATGGGAAATCAGTTTTCAGAGGGAGGGTGAAGTGAGAATAAAGGAAGTAGGAGGGAGATGAAGTGGGGTGGAAGGTGGTGGGGTGGCTGGGGTGCTTGACGGAGGATGTAGATTCAGAGGTTGTGGGAAGAGACAGAGAGAGAGATGTGTTTTGACAACTCTTTTTGTGTTCTGTAACATTAGCATTCAATGCTCCAGAACTACTACAACTTCTATTTATACGTATGTGTCTTGCTTTCACCCTAGTATGTGGTGGACTTTTGCAGCCATGTTTATAAACTGCACCCCCCCCCATCCCACACCACATGGGCCTTAGATAACTGGACCAGGAGTGGACATTTGACCTATCCTGAGCCAAACATAGTCTCATGCTAGAGAAAACAAGAGATAGATTCTGTAGTTGGACAATGGAGTCACTTGGTCACTTGGTATTGGCCAGGGTCAGAGCTCTGGATACTGAGGTCTGGCCCTGACTAGGGGAGAACCATATGCTTTACAGAGGCAAGTGTGTTTTAGAGGATGCAGTGCCTAAAGCATTTAACTGATACCAGAAGGTTGGCAATTCAAACCACCAGCTGCTCCATGGAAGGAAGATAGGGCTAACTACTCCACTAAAGATTTACCATCTCAGAAGCCCAATGGGGAGGTCTCTGAGTTGAAATCAACTGGTTGGCAGTGAGTTTGGTTTTGAGTTTAGGATGAGTCCCAGGAAACAGAGAGGTGTAGAGAAGTAGAGGAGTTAAACTTTTGACCCCAGAGAAAGTGTCTGCCTGACCACTTTTCCACTTCCTGAAATTATGCTAGGTGAAAATCCCCTTTATATAGATCCCCTTTTCCTTAAGCTAGCTTGAGTGCATTCCTGTTCTGGGTAACCAGATTATGTTCAAGTCAGAAACTAGTACCAGGAGGGCATTTGCAAACAACAGACCATCAAAGAAAATGTTGGAACTGCCTATAGAGGTGCATAAGGGGTGGCAGATAGTGGGGATTTCTGTGTCCCAAGAGTCATCAGGCTATGAGGCACCAAAGGG